GGATTCAAGGAATGATGACTTAAGACCTTTCCTAAGACTGACAGATAGCTGTGGGGTGCAGAATGCACAGTTCCTCATTTTCAAATGGAACCAAGAGAAACAAAAGCATTAGAGAACTGGACGAAAACTGGCTAGGAGTACCCAGGAGTCCCTTGACATCTCCCTGTAATATGCAGAAGCGTGTCAGTGTAAATCTTGAGTCTTGGGGAACTGAAGGCGACCTGGGTGGGGATGTGAAGCCTAACTCAGAAGAAGTGGAGAGTTCCTATTTTGAAATGAAATGAGAAATATCAGTGTTAGATTACGCATATATACAATTTGAAATTCAGTGTGAGAAAGGCTGATACTGTACTTGATAAAATTTTGTCTACACTGTGGACCTGCTTATTTTTATTTTAACATTGTGGATTATTTAAATTTTGTTTGGTTAGCAATTCAGCAAACACATTTTTTAGTTGAAATTATAATGTATGTCCTCATAATCATTCCCACTTGGAAAAAGCCCATGTAACTGGTTCAATAGCTACTAACTAGAGTTTATAGTTTAGCCTGTCAGAACTGCAAGCATAATGACTAAGAGGAACTACTTGGTTTGTAAAGAACTGGCTTTGTAAACTCAGCCTTATAAAGTGACCACAAATTTCACAAATCAACATTTGTGCCTTGTTGGAGCATGTTTGTTGAGAGTCCCTATGTAACCTGGGATCTAGTTCTGTGTCTCCAAGGAATCTTTGGCAAAACAGTTCTTGATGTGCCAACTTCTTCAGCTGTAATATGGGGACTTTGACTAAATCTCTAAGGTCTCTCTTAGCTCTAAAACTTGGAATTCTTTAAAAATCTTGCTATTAGGAGAAATACAACAAGGAGAACTTTTCTTTCTGCTCTTCTTCAGACATATGAAAAACACATATGCCTTTCAAGAGGGGCATAGGAAGGAGCCTGGAACTTGCTAGCTGAACAAGATTACTAGAAAGACAAACTAAGATAATTTTTTAAAGTAACTCAATGTGGCTAGGCTGTCTCCAACTTTTCTGAGTTTCTCTTTTTAAAAACTTTTTATTTTTTGGTTCCCCTTTTTAAAAAATTAATCTTGATATATGTTATATCTACCACACTGAGTTAAGTTAAAAGATTTTAATGAAGAATTAAAACATTGCAAAGAATAAAACCATGCACACTTCCCTGTAGCAAATCCTTACTGGTCAAATAACTGGACCATGAATGAGGTGTTACTGCCACCTGTTGGCACATTGTCTAATTACAGGAAAAGTATAGAAAGAAAAGTCAGCTATTGGAATGAGTAAAAAGTGACAATGAATGTTACAGTTTTAAGCAAGCCCTGAAACTTAAGTTTAAGTCAATCACTACATAGATGAAGATATTATAATCTAGTAGTGACTAGGTCAGTACCATTGAACCTAAAGTCATACAACATTGACTTAAATTCTTGCATCTATGCCCTTGGGAGGGAAAAATTCACTTTTTCAGTTGCTCCAGTAGCATTTATTTATTGATTATTCTTAAAATTTTTAAAATTAAACATGTCATGGCTATTGATTACAGAAAATTTAGAAAACTTAAAGAAGCAAAAAGATTATAAAAGTCACAGTGGCATCATGCGGGTGTAAACACAGTTAGCGTTTTGGCATATTTCCAAGATCATGCTTTTTTCTGCATCATTTTTATGGATGAGGTAATACAGTTAATAATAACAGCTAAAACTTGCATTGTACTTACAATATTTTACTATATGCCAGGCACAGTTCCAAGTGCTTTACATATATTAAATTTAATCCTCATGGCTGCCCAGCGAGGAAGGTACTACTATTATCTGCATGTTAAACACAGGAAAATGAAACATAAGCATGTGGAAGGCAAGTAACTTACCCAATGCCACATATACAGTGATGGATAATCCAATGAGCTATAATTCAAACCTAGTCTGCTTGGATTTAGAATCTGCTTTTAACCACTATACCACTTTTGTGTATTCTGTTATGTGACTATATTTTATTTAATAAATTACCCATTGTTGGACATTTAAATAGTTTCTAAATTATTGTTCTTATAAACAATAGTGTGATGGTCATCCTTGTAGCCAAATTTTTTCAAATTTATATCCTTATACCCTTAGACTAAATTCTAAAAAGTAAAAGGGGATCAGATGGACACTACATTTTTTAAAGTAATTTTTTAATTTTTCAATTAAAGTTGACATACTATATTATATTAGTTTCAAGTGTACAGCACAGTGATTAGACATTTATATAATTACAGAGTAATCACCCCGATAAGTCTGGTAACCATCTGATACTATACATAGTTATTACAATATTATTGACTACATTTTCTATGCTGTACTTTACATCCCCATGACCGGACACCACGTTTTTAAGGTTTATTATCTGCTTTGTGTCAGAAAGTAAGGAAGTACTTAAAGAAAGGGGTATGTCATGTCCCAATCAATACTTCCAGGAACAGGTCTACTTTATTCACTAATTTTTAATGAATGTAAAAGTCATAAATTCTTGTAAAAAATCCAAGCAACAATTCTCGAGCTACTTTTTGTATATCCTAGGATTCGGCAACAAGGTAAACACATTGTAGTTAATGGAGCTAAGTTTCCCAGTGCTGAAGATGTGAGTTACAAATAGGAGAAAAAAGATGGCTAAAGTAGAACCAACAGTATTGGATTGGAATTGAGGTATTAGTATGAATATATAGCATTTTAAAAATATTTAGATAGATAAATATAGAAATAGATTTAGATATGTGTGTGGGGAGGTATGTATGTATATGCATGTATGTCTATGTTTACTAGCTTTGAGACCACACGTAGCTCCCAGACCTTGTTTTCTAGATGCCATTCTTCATTAAAAAGAACCACATTTCCTTGGAGAATGGTGATTCAAAGGCTGGGGCTAGAAAAGTACATGATGAACATGGAAGGTCTTTGTGTCAGGAAAGTAAGGAAGAGCTCAAAGAAAGGGGGCATGTCAAAGGACATAAGAGTCAGCTCAGAGGGACTCCCACTGGTCCAATCTGAGATAATTCGAGCATCAAAATGAATAACGATAGTAAAGAATCCATGAGTTCATACTGATATGAATGAATGAAAGATGAATGAGTGAGGAATAGGAAGAGTTTCATTTGATAGTAAAATCCCAGTTAATTAATATAGAAGGAATGATGGAATTAGAAAATCACCATTACAAAGGAAAAAGTAGTAAATTAACAGTAAAGAAACTTGGCAGACATCACCTTCATGCAGTATTCAGCTAACATCACCTGTGACAGGCCATCCTGTGCCTCCCGATGTGGAGCATGGAGGACAACAAACATCACTTCTGTGACATTGCTGCCCCAAATGATAACTTGACTTGAATCATGAGGAAACAGAAAAACCAACTTGAGGAACATTCTTCCAAATACCTGGACTGTATTCATCAGAAAGATCAAGGTCATGAAAAACGAGGAAAGGCTGAAGCACTGTTTCTGATTAATGGAGACGAAAGAAGCATGAAAATTGAACGCAATTTGTAGGCTGGGGTTTTCTTTTCCTATAAAAGTCATCATTGGGACAATAGATGAAATGCACATGTGGTTTGTAGATTAGCTAATAGCATTTTATCCATGTTAATTTCCTGAGTATCTTGATTTTGGTAATTGTACTGTGGTTATGAAACAGAAAGCTTTGTTTTAGGAAATACATGCTGAAATGTTTAGCGGTAAAGGGGAATCATGTTCACAACTTACTCTCAGTTTTAAAAATTTATACACGCACACTTGGAGAGAGGAGAGAGAACGGAGAGAGGAAAGGGGAAAGGGAGAGAGAAAGATAAAACAAATGTGTTAGTGTTAGCACTTGGGGAATCTGGGTGGAGGTTCTAAAGTAATTCTTTGCACTGTTTTTGCAAGTTAAAGTAAATCTGAAATTTTGTCAGAATTAATAGTCAATACATATATATGTATAGATCTCTTTTAAAAAACTAGTCGTGTAATATCCAGGGTATGGAGGTAGTACAACTTATTTAATAACTTTCCTACTGATGAACATGTAGATTGTTTCCTATTTTTCTACAAAAACTGCAATGAACAGTTTTGTCCATTTGTATTTGTATTTTTATGCTACAGACATCTGGAATTCCTAAGTCAAAGGATATTCATATTTAACTTCTTGATAAATGTTACAAAGGCCATTTTGGAAAGCAAACGTTCACCTAAATAGTGTCTTTCAATCATCACTGCCGGAGCCAGACATTCACAGCGAGTGTGAACGGTGACTAAGACCAATCTGTGGGCCATTTGGATGAGCCTCATGGACCTGAACTGCTTATATAGCTGTGTATCGCTGACGAGCACAGAGCAGTGATAATAGCTAGAGAACATCTCAGACTGTGTATTATCTCATGCAGGCTGGTACATGACTACATAGTCTTTCAAGAGTTTATTGTTAACCTGAAGGTTTATGCCAACTCTCTCTGCCCCATAATTACCTGCATGTTTTCTTGTTTGTCTTAAGAATATAGCTAGTAATTATCGTGACTCTTGGATCACTACTTATCTTCTACTTTCTTCTCTTTGCTTTTTTGGCTTTAACTCACAACTAATTTAGTAATATCAGTTATATATCTGCAAGAAAATATTAGAGGTACCAAGACAGGCTTAGTATAAATGCATACATACAATAATTCCTTTTATTATACCACCTATTACCTCCCTAAAAATATCTGCTCTTCAAGCTGGCTTTCACCAGCAATAGATATGTTGTATTGTGCATGAGGGAGATGTGCAGGGGGAAAGGGGCAGAAACAGTTATCCCCATGAAATGTAGGCTCTGAGATAGTTTCCAGGCCAATGGAAATGTTTTTAAAGCATTGCTGTAAATTAGCATATTAAAAATATAAGAATAGTTTTTGAAGGATAATAGGGTGCAACGTGAAAATCTTCAGGTGCCATAGTTACATGACTCTAAAACAGTGGAAGAGAAGATCAAAAGGTTGTTTTCATGTAACATTTATTGAGCCTTTTTCCAAATCCTGGGCTGGGCACAGAGAAACACAGATGAATAAGGCATTCTCTTTGCCCTTCAATAATTCATATTCTTGTCAGGGACACAGACATGCGAACATATAATATGGTATGAAGACTCTATAATATTGGTATATACTGAATATAGATGTAAAGTATCACGGGAACACAGAAGAGGGAATGATTAGTTTTGATTCAGGGCATCAGCAAGGTTTAAATGGGGGTGTGATCTTTGGGCTGGGCCTCGAAGGATGAATAGGAGTTTGCCAGGTTGATGAGCTAGTTTGGAAGGCATTTTCAGACAGAGAATAATGAATTGCATGAGTAAAGGTGGAAAGGCACACCTGTGACCTCTGAAGGTTAATACAAATCTAAGCCAGTGCTTTCCCCATGTACATACATGTACATACAAACCAACTGGGGATCCTGTTAACAAGCAGATTCAGATTCAGAAGGTCTGGGGTGGGCCTGCCATTCTATATTTCTAACAAGCTTTCAGGGGTTCCATACACCAAACTTTGAGTTAAAAGGCTCTAACACTGTAAATTATTGTCTACTTCAGCTGGGCCTGGTAGTTGGCGCAACCCAGGAGCAAGATGGAGAGCACAAATTTGTCTTTTGCCACGAGCAGGGTAATAAAAAGTGTTAGAAGCCTCCTTTTATGACCGTGTCATTTCAGAAACAGATTCAGAATTGTACCTGAACCAGCTTAGATGGAAGGTAACTCAGGTGACATGGGAACTAGCACAAGTTTAAAATTGCCTGGGGTTCCTACAGAATACTAACAATTAGAAAAACATAACCCAGATTGCCATTTTGAGTTATTTTCATGATGCTTTCTCCGGTGTTTGATTTTTGGTGAGAAATAGCTGTTATCAGTTGGGATGGTGTTTTGAATTCGTGACAATGTTTTTTCTAAAAAAATAACGTTTTTTAAATTATGGAAATAATAGTTGTCCTTTGCAGGACGTTGGACAATAAACCATGTTTTGGGGTGGTCATAGTTGAACAGATAATCTAGACTGATTTTTATTCCTATTTTCTATACATCACCCAGTCGCCCTGCCGTCCTCGGGGAGCTGGCACCAGAGTGGTTTGGCAATATGGCAAACAATCCTGGAGGGGCCCACCCGTTGTGCTAAAGACAGACTGTGAACTCCAAATGAGATCACTGAGCTTTTCTTCACTTTCATCTTCCCTGCTATTAATGCTGGTTGTGAAATGCAGTGGGGAGACTTCATAAGGCTAATGAAGGGGGAGGAAAGATCAAGCAATTATTTTCACAAGAATAACTGGTCATGCCTTCCTGTGATGAAGTTTACAACCTGCACAGATGGTTTGGAGCAGACCACATGACTGGAATTTAGCCATGTGGGAGTGGGACATCCTTACTACCTCTGTGTCCTTGAACATGCCCCCACAAAGACCTCTGCAGAGACGAGATCATACTAGGTCATACTAGAACGATAAGCAATTATTAATGCCAAGGACTCACTAAGAATAAAATCAGAAAGACATGTGAGCTTATTGGAGAGAATTATAGACTAGGAGGCTGAAGGAGATTGGTGATGAAGACATCACAATTTAAAGCTAATTCCAGACATCTTTGATACATTCCCAAGCACAAGGTCACAAGGTCATTTGGATGCCTGCATCTTGTGGCCCACTAAGTATCTTGGAACCAGGGTTTATCTCTTTCAATTTTGGTTCCATCAGAATTCCTAAGACAGTGATTCTCATGCTTTAGAGTACATGTTAATCACCTGGGAGCGTTTGTTGGAGATGGTGGTACCTGGGCAGCATCCCAGTCTGCTGACTCAGAGGAGCCCTGGGGATGATTCTGGTGCTGGTGGGCTGAACCCATCCTCTGAGTGGTACTGCCTTAATGGAGTCACACTGATTGACAAGTGTGTACGTCTTGTGCCGCTGGGAAAGAAATTTGTGTTTTTACTCCCACTAGTCTCCCAAGAGCTAAAAGCAGAGACTAAGCAAAGGGAAGAGGTCTAAAGAAAAAAACAATGGAAAAACCTCAAGTTTTACATTAATAGATGTATTTCTAAAAGATTGTATATAAATCAAATTTGTGAGTTAATCGTCTTTCCCTTTACTTAAACCCTAATGTGCTATAGCCGTTTTTGATTTTCAGATGCCTAGTGACTTTGCCACCTTAAAAATGATTAAGATGATAAATTTTGTTTTTTACAATAAAAAAGAAAAAAGTACTTAAAAAATTTACTAGACAGAACAACTCTTGGAAAAAAAAAATCAGAGAAGCCCTCGCAACCTCACTGGAAGCTGATTGCTTAGAATAAAATGAGCAGCTGCTACTCAAACGTATACAAGAGTCATCTCACAGATATAGTATCTCACACCCGTTAACTTCTGGTTAAACTGCTTAAGTCTGAGCCCTTCATGGTCTTGTCTTTCTATTTCCTTATGACCAAGCAGTACTAGTTAGTGATCTCTTTTCAATTCCTTGAACAGGACAAGTTCTTAGGTGTTCTCTGTGCCTCAAACACTTTTCCCATTTTTCTTCTGCCTCACTCTTATTCATCCTTTAGAGCCAGCTTAAATATCATTTCCTTAGGGAGGCCTTCTTCAAAGTCCCTACTGAGGTTTGGGCATTCTGCTGGTCTCTCGGTATCAATCCATCAGTCCTTGCACCCTCCATAGAAGTCTGGATCTTTCCTTTGTAGCATTTAATACAACTGTATTTATGTAATTAAATAATAATAGTCTCTCTCACAGGACTGAAAGTTCTACCAGGTAGGGACAGTTTCTCTTGCTAATCACTGGATTACCAGGGCCCTAGTACCTTGCAAGCAGTAGGCACTCAATACTTTACCAGGTACGGCTTCTTACCCCCAAATCCATATTATCAGATATTCTCAAAGGAGTAGGTGGAGAGGCACATAGAGCTTCTGAGCTTGGTGGTGGAGACAGTGGCTGAACAGCCAGAGAGATGAAAGGCTTTTGGGGTAGCGAGGTGGGGAAGCAAGAGGGGGTAATGAGACTAGGGGGTGCTTATGTAATGAGTTTCCCTTCTATTCCCCAGCACCCACTCTCTCCCCAAACAAACCCTTCAACAATAATTTATGCATTCATTTCTTTGGCGAATGAGATAAACCTCTCAGATCATAAAACCGAGACCAAAATAATTTTGCAGAACTAGAACATGTTCAACAAACCAGTCACACTTTAACTGGATCAGACTTCAACATGGAGGTGATTGTTTTCCGCCAAAAAATCTTCAGTACAGGAGGCCTACACCCCAACATGTGGAAAGATCACAAATACACTTTCCTCTCTCAGTCACCGAGGAAGAAGTTTTCTCTCCTGATGGGCCAACACTATTTCTTTTTTGTTGCTCTTTTCCCTTCTCCCTTCCTTGGCTTCCCTTTTCCACGAAGCTTCTTCAGGCGCATCTGCTCGTCCTTGAAGTCCTGATGCTCATCTCTGAATGGAGAAAGAAAAATAATGAGCCAGTATGTTTACCAGACTGGAAAAGTACACCAATCTAGCACTGTTCCCTTAGGTGGTTCTGGTAATCAGTCCTTGAGTTCCACAGGGCACATGCTTAGCTTGGTGAACAAGGAAGACGGGGGTCCCCAACATACACGTATTCCACGGTTCATTTCTAATCGCAGTTTCCCTCACAGAAAGTGTCACAAATAGCAGTTGATTCTCAGGCCAGCAATGAAAACCTATGTTAACTATGATACAATCCTAATGATTACCCCAAGTTTCCCTATAATACTCAGACTAAACACTGAGAGTAGCAGAAAGTGGGTATATAGTTACACAGACTCCGAGAGCCCCAACAATTAGCACCTACTACAAGGGGGAGAGGTCTGGAGGAAGATGCCTTAGTGGCAATGGATAATTTACACAAAAAGGCTCCAGGGGAAGGCTCAGGCAGATGGAAGCCAAATCAAAAGACATTTACTCTAGGGACCAAGGCAGTCAGGACTATACATGTGGATGGGGTATAAGACGAAGATTGCCTACAGTGTGTAAAAATGTTTGCATCCTAAGATCAAATACCTAAAGAACAGTATGGTGTTTAAATATGTAAGCTCTGGAACCCATCTGAACCTTGGTGCAAATCACAGCTCCACCATTTAGTCGCTGTGTGATCCTGGATAATGGTATATGAATTCAATGTAAGGGAAGGGTTTGCTGGGCCCAAGTTTCTAACTCCCTAGGCTGTTTTAAAATAGATTGGTTTTATAGGGCACACTGTTTCAGTCTGTGAACATGATGGGCACAACAGACCTCTCTGGGATTAGCTATGGTTGCCCCAAATAATCTATTCTGAACAGAGTAATTCTCCTCAAATATAAGTCCTATTGTGTTACTCCTCTGTTCGTGATCCTGCGAATGGCTCCCCATCTGCCCCAGAGCAAAAGCCAAAGCCCTTACCACGGCCCTCGGAGCCCTTCGTGACCTGCCTGCAGTCCTGCTGCTCACCCCTGGCCCGCGCTCTCCTGGAACAGGGCAGGCACACGTCTGCCTCAGGGCCTTTGCTCTGCTCTCCTCTCTGCCTTGAAAGCTCTCCCCAGGACCCACTCGGTGCCCTCACCGCCTTCAAGTCTTAGCTTAAACCCCATTCTCAATCAGGCTGACCCCGACTGTCTTGTTTAATACTGTGATCCGTCCTCCTCCCGCCCACCGAGGGCCCTGTCAGCACCCTTGATCCTGCTCAGCAGGCTCTACTACTCTTCCCACAGCATGTTCGACTTCGTAATGCAGCATGCAATTTACTTATTTACTACGTTTTCTCCCTACTTCTACCCTCCCTTCCCTACTTCCGTCCATCCGCAGCCAGAAAGAAGGCTCCGAAGACAAGGGTCTTCATCTCTGTAGATGAAACAGCCCACGCACCCGCTAGACTGAAGGAGTCACTGTTTCGAGGAACCCGTGATTCCCTCGCCCTTTGCAGATCTTTGAGTAATATCTTCTTTACTGAAGATTATCTTGTTTCATCCTGTCTGATGCCACAAGAGGCCTTGTGTTCGAGGTACCATTTACCATCGCTAGTGACCATGAAAATAACTGTGCTTTTTTATGGATAACTAAATGCTAAGTATTTTTTCCTGGTCCCCAAAGATAGTCAAGGCTTTATTTTTCAAACAAATGGAGAGTGGCAGCAAACAGGTACATTAAAATAGCTGAATATGATTTTGTTATGGGTTGTAATTTTCTACTCAGTGATATTTTACTTTGAGTCATAATAAAATTAATTTTTATTTTGAGCCCAGACTAATGGCAAGGAAATTGCCCCCAAAATATTCCTAGAAATCAAAATATGTCATGAATTATAATCTCTAATAATATATTAACTAAGAAAATCTATTTTGTTCAGTGTTGTTCCATCTATGCCCATCTTAAGTGCCTACACATGGAAAGTACTTAAAAAACATCTGTTGGCTACATGAATGTACCAATCTTTTGCTATATGGAACGAACTAAGTCTTTTATTAGAATGAGCAGTCCCAAATTAATTTTTCTATTGTTGCCCTAATACAAGTCCAATTAAAACATGTTAAATTAAAAAAAAAAAGTAGGCATTTTAACTTTATACAATAGGCATTGTTTGAATTCTTTTATAACGAGCATACATTAGTTAGGCAATTAAGACATTTTTTAAAGAATGTGATCACATAGGTATTTGATCTTTTTTCTTTCTAGACCAGTATATAGTCCTAAGTTTCTTATACATACACAAACATACGAATGCATGGCGGAAAGAGCCTACTACTCTTACTATTACACACTGTTATTCTATTATACTATTACATAATACTCTTAAAGGTGAACTACTGTTTATTTAGGCCAAATTAGTATATCAAAAAGGGTACCAACTAAATATGCCAGAAGAGGGTGGAAAGAAATAAGAACTACAATGAAACCAACACCAGACAGGAAAGGAGGCTCCCCGTACCTGCTAAGAAGCAGACGGCCGTGGGGCAGGGACGCTCTTTATCTGACCCACGAGAACCTGCTCAGTGTTTAGACCAGTTCTCCTGCATCCATTTAGAGTGCCTGGATTAATGACTTCTTAAGCATCTCTCTATAGCTGAGTATTTAGTCAATGTTAAGTCATGTTTTGGACATAATTAAATTATATCTTCCAATTACTGCATGTGTCCTTTTATTTTTGGTATGCCCATTATGGATACTTTGAAAGCCTTTCACCCCCAAATGTACCTTATGAACTAACTGGGCACTATTATAAGAACCACAAAACGATAAAGATAGAAAGACTATTTGTTTTTCCTTTTCCGAGCTACTAAAAACATCTCTTACAGGTTACTCTTTGTGTTTTTTGTCATTACCTGTAGAGGCCAAGAAAACGCAGTGTCCCCATGAGCGCAAAATAAGTGTTGTGATCTGGATACCAGTCGTAAGTCTCCTTCCTCTTGGCCAGAGGCTGCTCACTAAACAGTTTCACCACTTTCATGGATTTGGAGTCAGTAGGCCTGGCGACCTCACCAAACAGCCGGGCACTCAGACGAGTCATGCGCAAGGCATATTCTGAGAGTGAAGACATTTCTGGAGCAGCAAGGAGCCAGAGCCCCTGAAGAAAATGAGAAGATAAACAGGTTAGTGTAAGAAATTCCCAAATTATCTAATGAACACTTTAGAAAATGGAAAAATAGCAAGTCACACGTAAATCCGTCAATGTTGTTGGCAGCACATGCCTCGGAGTTGAGAAATATCCACAGTCCGTTGCTGTTTCCTTTGCATTACACTTGCAAAATGTTTCACATTCGATGTTCACATGCTATTATTACTCCTGTGTTCCACTTCCCTCTTTACATGAACTATTTTGTGATTGAACAGGTTATTTACTGATAGTTTACCTATTTGTAGGCTAGGTGAGGACAGAGAAACAAGTTTTCCTACCACAGCATTGTTATTATACCTTCAGAAAACACCCACCTAAGCAGTCTGCAGAATAAATATGCTGACTGCTTGCCATCTAAAGGTTTAATCATGGCAGAGAAATAATTATGCTGTTGTCTTTATTATCAGCCCTTTGAATACTGTTCTCCTCAAGGGCTCCAGATGGCTAAGAACTGCTAATGAGTTATGAGGTCATTTAGCCTCTAGGTTGCTGGATTGAATTCTGCCTAGAGACTGAGAGCCATTTGGGAAAAACAAACAGAGATAGTAGTCTTAGAGAAATAAACTCGACACCTCAAAAGATTCATTTTATTCCTGAATAGAAGGCACTTATGAATTGTGATGTTACTTGTCTTATCTTCCATCTTATATATTCTGCTTATTATAATGCTGCATATATATTATTAGCTGAAAACAGTAACTTTTTCCTCAAAGGCATAGAATGTTGAAATAGTTATAAGAAATTTACCTGTAATATAGGAAATTATAGCTAATATATATCAAAAATTATATAGGTGATATATAAAGTCAAGATTGTTGCTTGTGGAATAACTATCTTATCCCATTCTAGTTCAGATGTAGAGGTAAACTGTTGGCAGACTACGATAATTTATGTGCAATTTTTGTAGTGAGATGAGACTCTCTGCTGGCTAAAGACCATCTTGGCAGATAGTTCAGCTGGGATGAAAAGGAGTTGACCTCCAAACAGAAAAAAAGGCATAAACCTATCTTGAGAAAACAATGGGAGAAATATAAAAAACCCAGTGACACCAAGTAAATTTCAAAATATCTCTTGCAAGAGAAAAAACAAAACCAGTGTTTAAAGAATGTTTCATGTCCATTTCAAGATCCAGTGAAAGAGTAGAGGCTGACCTCAAGCCAATTTCAGAACTGTCAGTCTCAAACCATTTACCATTCTGAAACCAAGCAATCTTGGGCCAATAGTGCCACCTGAAGGCCAGCAATGGGAGAACTGTCAGATCCGAGGTCTCCCCCCGCCCCCCCAATCTGGGATCCGTGCACGCCTTGCTTTCTTTCCTTTTCCTTTTAGGGCGCTCAGTTCCCAGATTCACTTTTCTCCCAACTCTTGCCCCAGCTCTTGGGTGGGGATGGATTGGGTTATATTTTCATCAATGGGAAAAAAAGTCATTAATAATTTAAAGTATAAATAGAGAATAGTAACAAATCAGTACTTTAAACCGCTGAAGTCCTCGTAAATGTCCAGAAATTGCCTTCAGAAGCTACAAAAAGTTTCTTCGCATGCTTTATCTTTTTTCTGTCTCCCACCTTTAAAGTTGTTTTTCCAAACATCATATGAAAAACAAAACTAAAAACAAACTTTCTTAATCAACTTTACTTTGTTTTGCTTAATAGCTATTATGAAATCAGAATAGATTTCTGTTGCAATTGCACAGTATTTGCACAATTAGTTAATTGTAAGGTGGCCTAGGAACTACTAGCTGGGTTATTCGGGGCATATTGTCTCTAAAATGAGTTTCTTTTTAGGGAAATGACACTTGTGGGACTACTGTAAGAAATAAGACAGTGGCACTCAGTAAAGGACACCTAAAAAAAAAACAACCAAAAACAAATCTAACCCTGTTTGTCATAGGGAAGGGGATCAGTAGCTTGCTAACCGACAGGTAGCAAGGAGGAAGGGACTCATTAGGACTGTGGTCACTGAAGCTATCACAGGATGCTAAGTTGCTTCAATGCCCACTTTGGAATGTAGCAAATTACTGAAGCACATAGCTCATAAATCATAAGGTCTCATTAGAATCCACTGGAACATGGTTATATCACAAAATCCAAATCCTATAACTTTTATGATGGAGAAGGGGAATAAGCCTATTCAAACCTGAATCTCTCACTAGAAACAGAACCACTTGCTAAATAGAAGGAAACTGAAAATGGTTATTATTACCAATTACTGCTTTGTAGTCTCCTTCCACAGAGCATACATATACATATGTCTCTGATAAAGAACGGCATAGCAGCTTGATACACTTTTTCTTTTTTACATATGCTAAAACAGCTAAAAAGTTCTGCTGTCCATAAATATTGGCCCTACTTCTGGCAAATAGCCACTTTTTACTAGCTTTAAATTTTTTAAAAATTCAAAATCTTTACTTAGGTACTTCAGGACCCTGGTATGCCTTTTTACAGATTCTTTTAATTTTATCTTTAAAAAAGTATGATGTTCCTGTTAAAAGCATTAAAGTAAAAGGTAAACAGTCTACATGTCAATTAGATTTTTATTCATATGAAGCCATTTTAAGGGATATAATTATATTGCTTTTCTTTAAATGTAAACTAAAGAAAACAGTATCATGAAGAAAAATAAACGAGTTGGAAATGCTAAGCAAAAAATTACTCAATTGTGCTGAAGCAAAACATGTTAAGCCCACAAGAAAATGCCTACATTCTTACTTTGGCATAAAAGGGCAAATTTCTTTGATTTTCTGATAGGTCTGATGCATTTAAAAGGTTAGGTTTACTTCAGTATTGGCTTTGTATTAGGTTTGCCGGTTTTTCTTTGAATAGTGCAGACGAAGTGCTGTTCTTCGCCTAGATATCCCTTAGCGTGGTGAATCTCATGGAACTGTACAAGTGTATGCTGAAATGTGTGTGTAAATCCTGCTGCGGAGAGAGCTGGCTCCAGTTTTCAAAATCCACTGGTTAGTGGATGGAGAGCACCAGCTTTGGAGTAGAAAACTGGTTGGAATCTTGCCCCTGCACTGTAATGGCCATCGATATTTGCAGTAGTGCCCACTGTGTTCTTTGCCGCTGCTTCTTCATCTACCGCACGAGGACAGTTATACTGCCTCCTGCGTTGTGGGCTGACAGGCAAAACTCATGGCACAGTGCCTGCCCTAACGTCATCAGGCTTCAAGGAACTCACGCACACGTGTTTCACAGAAAAACGATCTAAACACAATGCTTTACTATTTTTCAAGTCTGGTACCGATTATTTTACTGGGTCGTAAGGACATGAATGGCTCTGAATATATATTAGCTTTATTCAGTTCAACAGGAACATCCCCAAACCCCTCCACCTGACTGGATCACGCCTGCCTGTGATGGAAGTAATGGTGTCAAATCAACCGACGTTTAAATCGGCAAGGTATTTCGCAAGCATTTTTCTTAAAAACCACTTTAGTATATTTTCCTCAAGCTGTTCATAAAATTAATCTACATGCCCCACACGAAGCTACAGTGCAGAAGGCCTGGCAAGCAGAGAAACTGAGCCTTGAAACCTAGCTAATCAGGACGAGAGTAACTGCGCTTGAGTTAATTACGCTGGCGTCCATTTGGTAAATCCCCCAATGTGCGCAGGCAAAAGCCAAGCTGTTTGCATGATATCTGCGAAAGCTCCGAGCTGCTTAATAATCAAATTGACTTGTCCTGGTCTTGACAACTCCAGAAGGTTGTAGATCCCCGCGGGACCTCTACAGCTATCACCCATATTTCACTACAGAGGCCCCCCCGCGAAAGTCACGGACATCCTTACCAAACTGTGACCTTCCTCTCCCGCGCGCCCCTTTGCCGGAAGGCCCGCCCCCAACCCGGCTCCGAGCTTCAAGGGCCGCGGCGGCGGAGAGCCGTGGAGACTCGCGAGCGTGCGGCTAGAGGGGACCTAGTGTAGGGCCCGGGACCGCTGGCTGGCGCCTCCGGCTGTGCGGAGGGCGTAAGAGCCGGCGGTTCTGGAGGCACAAAGGACTGGCTTTCCTGGAAGGTCCTGCAGGGTTCGCTAACTGTATTTCGTTGGAAACGGCTGCGCAGCTACCCCCCAAATCTCTGAAGCAGAGGCCAATTGTGTGCCGTGTGGAGGAGGATGAAATGCTTTCTTTTTACTTTTCCATAAAGCACTCTCTTTCTGGGCGTTTTCTTTCTTTCTTTTTTTTCATTCAGCCCAAGCTTTGACGCGTTCAAGGGCATGGCTTCCGCTTCTCCACACATCCTCCAGCAGTGTGGCCAACGGGAGGCCATTCTTGATATTCTCTTGCGGGATTAGGGACACTATTTGGAACACTCTGCCCCTCTACCTCACTGGCCTGGAAGCTTCTTCAGGAAGTAGGGAAGGGATGCTTAGCTGACTCCTCAGTGGACATTACTTAGACATTGCTTGGTAGATAGTAGAAACACAGTAAGTATTTCGTTCCATACTAAATCTGCTCTCAAGTAAACCACATCTCATAGGCATTGTATGAAACATGAACACTACTTATTTTCTGAGCATTATTCAAGGCCTTTTATAAATACTCTAAAATGTACCCTAGAAATAAGGCAAATCAGCAGCGAGCCATATACCTAGTAGGTATTCTATATCACTTTCCGCCTATAGAATTTATGTTTGATAGCAATCTATGCTATAGAATTTGCTTTTATCAAGTTAAGTTTTAACTTTACAGTCTATAATATAATAAGTAGCCACATAAACTTGGGTCTGGTGTGAGATGTTTACTACGGTTACATCTACAGATGGCATAATGAGTATCCCTCATCTTTTTTTGTGTAGCTCAGTAAAAAAAAAAAATGTTCTGGGTAGAAAGTTCACCTCGTCTTCAGTGTTTCTGTGGAGTTGGCTTGTTTTTATCTAATGGCCACCGAATCATGTAAACAAGGAGGCTTCTTTTGCATGCTGGCTGTTAGAAAGTTTAAAGCCAAATTTGCAGTGGATTCATGGTAAGAGCAGTTACATGTATATTTGCATAAACTTTGTTGTTGGCTTTATTTTGTATATCTGTCTTTGGTTTTTCCCTTTTTACCTAGTTATTATTTGGGTTAACAGTGTGTTTTGTGAATCTGTAAGCTACCATAACTCTTTCTCGAAATATAGCAAGGTGTAAAGAGTTACAGGTGGCCATGTACCCGGGGCACTTTGCACTATGAACCTCATTAAGTCAAGTTCATGGCATTCATGTTAGTTTCCTGAGCCTACTACAACAAAATACCACAACCTTGGTGGCTTAAAATATCATCACTTTATTTTCTCACAATTCTGGAGGCCAGAAGTCCAAAATTAGTATCAATGGACCCAAATCAAGGTGTTGACAGGGCCATGCTCCCTCAGAGGCTCTTGAATAAAATCAGTTCTTTGACTCTTCCACCTTCTGGTTGTTGCTGGCATGCATTGACCTGGGACCACATCACTCCAATCTTCAAGGCTAGCATTTTCAAATTTCTCTCTGCTTTCTCTTTACATCACCTTTTCCTCTTATGTATCAAATATCCTAATGCCTCCCTCTTATGGATGTATAGTTGTATTTAGGTTGCACTTGGATAATCCAGGATCATCTCCCCACCTCAAGATTCTTAATTTATTCATATCTGCAAAAGCCCCTTTTCTATATATTGTAGAATTTATAAGCATTGGAGATTAAGACTAGATATCTTTGGGGGATGTTTTTCAGTCTACCACAGAGTTGGAAACTGAAAACCTATGATATTGGACCATAGAAACTGTTACAATGGGAAAATTTGAATGTTAGGGTGGGCAAAGTAACATAACAATAAAATTTAACTTCCTATGGATATCAACTTCTAGACTTCAGTTTACTCACTCGTATCTCCAAGCTAAAGCTTCTTTAAGGATACTTCTTATAATCAGAAATTGCCTTACATATTTTTATTTTCTATAGTTCAGTATTCTAAAATCGTGGGCTATGAATCATTAGTTGGTTATGAAATCAATTTAATGTGTTGTGACCAGCATTTAAAAACATTAAGGTAGGGAATGTCAGAGTGCATCACGTGTAGTGAGGGTAATTATTGTTTTATGAAACTATATGTATATGTGTATTGGACCATAATGTAAAATATACTTTTACTCTAGGTTGTGGCAAAATAGAAAGCCTCTACTGAAAGCAATTTCATTATTCGTACTCTATGGCAAATATTTCTTACCATTAGGTAGAGCAAGAATTAAAGCTCACATCAACTTCAAGTTCTTACTGTGTGGCATAGTCCAAGGTGCAGGTGCATACTTACTCCTCTGAGTAAGTTAATTTAGAGATCCCTTATAGGTACTTTTTCCTAGCATCATGTAGGTTCTTTTCTTCTGTGTTTACAATAGTTCTTTTCTCACTCTACAAAAGAAAGGTATATCCCTCACCCAGGGTATAAAACCCTCCAGGATGATAAACAAAGGGACAAGTCAACATGTTTTGGGGGAAGCTTTCTTTAACGATCGGTTAAGGCACCATAAACCCTTCTCAGGCTTCCTTGTCTTTTTCCTGTCTTGCATATATCCCAGGTAAGAGTGAAGTATGGCTGTTAGAAGTGTGGTAAATGGATATTTGTTGTGATATTCTGAAATCAGATGTACTGTGTGAGTGTGAATGTGTGAGTGGTAGTAAATTTCCTTTAATAATCATGTCTCTTCCATCCTCTGTGGTTAAGAAGTGCATTGTTATTGAAGGAGGGTCTGGTGAGAGCAAAGCAAAGCCAGCATTAAGAAAATATTGAACCCTCAATTTTCTCCCACATAGTTAAACATAAACAATTTTCTTCAGCTATTCTCAGTACTTATCCATAGACTGTGTCATTATCTGGAAAGAAAAGCTACTTTGAAGAGCTGAAGTAGTAGAGGTTAGTGACACTGATTATTTTAAATATAAAACAAGTTATTTTAAGAGACTCATATTTTTCACATTATACTGGAATAACGTACAAAAAAGTCATGCATACTTTTATTTCAGATTTGGTATACCTACTATTCAATAAAGGTTAAAACAGATTGTGAAAAATCAATGATACATTCCCTAAATATTTCTCATCTCCCCCACTTCCAGGCATAGAGTTAGAGTGCATTTTATGGCAATCTTGGTATTGTGTAAGGCGTGTGACTGTTTCTGGCCGGTGAGTTATGAACAAAAGTGAAGTACCATCTTCACCCATGTGAAAGTCTCCAGAGCTCTCTTTTCCCTCTGGCACAGAGGGTCATTGCTCTGTCAACCTGGGCCCCAGAGCGATTATGAGGAACAGATTCTGTTCTGCCAGTCACAATGTGCATGTAGCTTAGTTAGAAATGAGCCTTGGTTGTTATAAGTCATAGAATGTTGTTGTTTGTTATCCTGTCTGATCCTGCACTTATCAATTTTTATTTACTTATTATTATTATTTATGCCTACAGCACCTCATCTTTCTAGGTGGTCTCCCATCCAAGTACTAACCAGACCTGACCCTGCTTAGCTTCTGAGATCAGGCATTGGGCTTGTTCAGGGTGGCATGGCCATAGACCATGGACTGTGGCTCCACTGGGGTGCAAACCCAGGACCTTCTATGTGTAAAGCAGACGTGCTAACCATTACACTATGGAACCACGTCCAGCACGAATCAATTTTTAACAGCATATGCTTTTATTTTTCATTAAGTATATAGGAAAAATTTTTTATTATGATTTCAAAAAAACTGATTAGAACTATTACAGAATTTTCATATGTGATTCTTATTTACTTATTTCCAAAAGCTGGAAACTAAAGTTCAGTTCACACCTGGACATACTTATTAAAGGAATACTCTGCCTTTTGACATCCTCTAGTTTATAAACAACACTTATTTATTACATTTTACTATTATGAATTGAATAATGAGAAAAACCATATAGATTTATTCTTTGTTTATGACATTCTAAAAATGTATAAACTAATTCTATTAGTTCCTACATTATTTTAATCTTGATGGCTTTTAATAATTAAGCTTATGAGATAAATTTAGTAATCTATTTCTCAGTTTTTAGAAAGTATACATCAAAGTATAGTACATATATTAACACATTATTTGAAGTCAATAAGGGAGAAATAAAACAGCAATGTAGGAAAAAGTGATCTCTTTATCAAAATAATTTAAATATATTTTCCCTCACATCAGCACATTTATGCGTTATGTCAAATTTTTGTGGAAAGGATTTAACAGCACGTAGGTTTCATGAAAACATATCGTCAAAATCTCTGCACTCTCCTATGTCCTGTTTTTCCTGGTCTTCCCCAGCCCTTTCTTTCAAGCCTCAAACCACATAGATTAATTTACCCTCTACCTTTTATATCATAGTCGTCTTAAGTATTACATCTATATATATTGAAAATCTCACTACAGAATGTTATAATTTTTATTCTCAACAGTCACAGGTTTTAAAGGAAGGAGAAAAAGAGCCCATTTCTGTTGTTTTCCTTCTTCATTCCTAGAGCTCCAGGTGACCCTATGGTATCATTTCCTTTCCGCCTAAAGAACTTCTTTTATCACTTCTCTTAGAGCAGGGTTGCTGGTGACAAATTCTGTTATTTTTTTTCTTTTTTTATGAGAGATTGTCTTTATTTTACTGTCATTCCTGAAGGACTTTTTCACCAAATATAGAATTTTGAGTTGACAGTTCTTTTCTTTCAACTTTTAAAAATGTTATCGCACCATCTTTTGATCTCCATGGTTTCTGATGAGAAATCAGCAGTCACTCAAATAATTGTTCCCCTATATGTAATGTGTCATTTTATCCCCCTGGCTGCTGTCAGGATTTAAGAAAAAAGCCTTGGTGTTCTAAAGTCTGATTTTGATGTATCTATCATGATTTTCTTTGCATTTATCCTGCTTGGAGTTCGCTGAGCTTCTTGAATCTGT